GAACAAACAAACAATAATAACAGACTTATGACTCAAATGGAACATCTGTTGAGTTTGGCAACAACCCAGAAATTACCATTTGTGACGATGGCTTGAGAATGAGACATCACCATCAATCGTTTTAATTTGATATAATTTCAAATTACCAAACTAAATCAAAAATAAAACGATTATAGTGAAAGATAAATACCTCGTGTTTAGTAGGAAAACTCAATTGCATTAAACGCCCACATGGAGCATGAGATGATGAATGGCGAAAAAATACCAAATGGTGAGACTGTTGGAAGCGATTTGATTTTAAAATGATTTGAGTCATAGTAAAGGGCTGAACCGAGTTATTACTGTATTCCACGTCAAAGTTAGCGGCAAAGAATATACTAGTAATGTTAATTTTATTTTATTACGTAGCCACCGTAAAATACAATCAAAATTGTTTAGCTTGTTGTTCGTCACCGATTTATGACTAACACCCGGCTCCACTATCAAGTCGTTTTGTCGTTAGCAAAAACAAAACTTGAGTTGACTTGGCTCATCAAGATAAAGTCGTTGTGATAAATCGTGAACCCGATAACAATTCGCTTAATTACTGACGATCTCCAAACATTCATTAGATTGATAAAGACCGATAACTTACCCCTATTTTAATGAAACTTTGGAGAGTCTGCTCTTTAGTCCTCAAAGTCCCGCAGTAAAGTTTTAAGTACGGAAGACGATATACCACCACCACCTCACTTCCTTTCTCGTTTACATATGACGTCATAGACATAGGCTGCCGCCAAATAATGCGCATTTTTTTATAATATCAATCTAGTCCCCACTCATACCCGCCAAACTAGATGCGCTAAATAGAATAGTTTTTGACGAATTGTTTTTCGCCCAACATTTTTCTTGCAGATGTGTTACGTTCTTACAATCAACCACATTACCGTTCCTCGTCCTCTGTGAATATGGAAGTAATTAGATGTGTTAACATCTGGGGAGCCTTACCTGGATTTTTGATGGAGACTACTTTCCCGGAAGTCGATGATTCAACGTTTCGAAACGTAAACGTGCAAGCGTGATATTGTGCTTCTGGGTGTACCAATCGACGTCAACAAAAATAAATTACACTTTTATCAAATATCAGAAAAATTTCCCGCCTTGACAAAGCAGGCGTATTTCTGTACCTCAGGCGCGTCATATCGAGCGCGGAGGGCGTTTTGGGCTTAAGGTAGAAGCCTAGTCATAATTTTGGCCAAAATTTATCATATTCATAAATCGTAACCAGCATAAAATAGTTAGTGGGGGATATGAGGAATACCCGTCGCGTATTGCCGGCTGTCTTGACTAATACCACATATTTTGTGTGCATGTGTCGTGCTTGGCTGGTGTCCTTGATTTAACGTACGGGGAACTTAACACGATTGCAAAAGTAAGGTAAGTCGTTCAGTCTGAGTCGCTACCGTTTACCATGTTTGCGTCTGACACTATATTCCCGTAGTTTTCGTTTGCCATGAAGGGGGTCTCTCAAATTCACCGATAGTTGACAATACAAGTGGCCTAGCCATACCTCCATACCTACATAACAGCTAGAGCTGAAAGACCGCCTTCCTAAATATGTTAACATCGTTCAACAATGCAATATATTTAGGAATAACCGAAAACAAAACATTAATTTAATATTTTAATGTTAAAATGAAGATTAGAACCATCTGACCTCTGACCTTGTTTATTAATAAACGTTTATGCTGGAAACGTCCTTACAACGTTGTACAGTGAAAATTGGAAAGATATACCTTTTTCATTTAAAAACTTATTTATAAAAAAAATTGTCAATACTGATCTCTAGCTTTCATTCGAATTCAAATAATTAATAACAATTAGCTCAGAGCTCAAAAATGTTTGTCCATAATGCATGCAGAATTTCATGATATAAAGTCGTGTTCGGGCTATAGTAAGAATAGGCTAGCTAGGGCTAGGATGTATCCATGTTGGTTCTATGGTTATTAAACAATACCAAAGCAAATCGAGAAAGTGCAGAATAACAGAAAGTACGGTAGTACAGAGTCTCATCATCAATTCATTTTTTCTTGAGAACAATGTTCCTAGATGTTGAAAATGGCATACCAAAATGAATAGTTATGAATATAATAATAAATCTTACGAATAGACATTGAATACAATGCCGCTTTTTGGCTAAGTATTCGCACACGCTTCGTTAGCCCATGCTAAGTATCTGGACAGGACTTAAAAACAGATTAGATTTTACTCATAACTCAAAATGTAGCCAACGTTACGTTCAATTTGTTTATTGGAAGGCAAAACATG